TTTTCACTTCTTTACTACAACTACGTCTGGGTACTCAGAAATCGACTGAGGTTCCATGTATGGCTTCATATCTTGAGAACACCAGTGAGGGTTTAGGATATCGTAGGCCAATTGATTCTTAATGTTTTTTACATATATTCTTGAGGACTTATTTTCATAAAGTATATTCATTAAAACACTTGAAGTTTTCATGGTGACTAGAAGCGATAAAATATTCCTAGGCGATCAACCTCGTCAATTTGAAATATCACTCCCTGAGGATGGAGAAAAAGACGTTCATCGCAACAACTGACGTCGATGATAACCCGAGAAGATTTTCTCATACTATTCAGTCAGTTCGGACGGAAATTGTCTAACAATTTAAGTATAGATCTTAAAGAGAGACGGCCCAACCTGAACTCCAAAATAGCTCAAATAGGCCTCGGAGTAAAATTTATCGTACGGTGGAGAAATAAGAAATCCAAACAAGAGATTGGATGCGAAACCCCATACAACTGAAGTCAATTTTTGAGGGTGTGTCCGATCTGTGATAGGCTATAGATTGCCAGTATTTATAAATACTACCAACTGACAAGCTTTTCTGGTAACTATGATGAAAATCCTGGTTATGTAGCAACAAGGAATTTCTTGACCATTTGCTTAAGAAAGAACGAGGCTGTGCCATGGAGTTCGGCTTGTTATATTCCACTTACGCTAGGAGTCTTGCCAATTTCTACTGACATTAGTTACAAATTCCGTACCTGGGGCATTCTTCACGAATTACTGGTCCTTTGAAGCAGACAGGTTAGGCAGGTGGCAGCCCTGGGGCGACTGATTAATTGATTCACTGCTGATGAAGCCAAGCGATAAAGATCTTAAATCTAGTTCTGTTTGAACCTTCAATCTCCAGAAAATATTGATCAGCAGAAGCCACCGTGATTGGCTAATAATACCTCTCGCTTAAGACATGTTCCTCTTCGCTAAAAGTATAAGGCAAGATCTTCGACATGTGTCAGTTTTGGGTCTCGTTTTGCAACACTATATCATAGCCTATTGGCTGTCTTCTGTATGACTACAATAACTGGCCCCGGGTTAATGAACTTTGTTAACTATCTGGTTACGTGAGTCCAACGAAGAATATTTGGATCCATGAAAGGGGCAGAAACGGGAGTCTCAAGGACATAAAATGAGACCCATTGCTAGACAATGACTAGGTAAACATATTCCAGCGGGAGTCAACGCGGGCAACAATTGGACATCCATTGCTAAACAACGGATCAGTAAACACGCCTCCTTAATAATAGAGACTGAGTGACCCGTGCAAAGTGGTCATAAGAAAGTGTTCAGTAACATAGAGTGAAGTTTGGAGTCAGTTGTCAGAAGTCCAGAGAGTAGGTGTCAAAAATGGAGTCGAGTTCTGGAGATGGTAGTCTAAGGAGACTGAGAAGAAACGACAAGAAAGGCATTAGGCGGTGTAAAGAAGTCTTCATGTGTTATGCGAACTTACAGTGGGACTGTTCTAAATCCGTTGCCAGGATACGACTAGTGAAGAGTGAGAACCCTAGTGCGTGTATAACGATGAACTGTAAAGTGTGTAGAACAGCAATAGCGCTGTAATGCTTGTAGTCCCGAAGTGTGTGAATATATAAGGTACAATAAATCCAATCATCAAATCCAAAATCCGTATTATAAGTCACGCAAAAACCCCCAATACACGTGACATTTTCATATTACGTGTATTATTATTGTTGTTATTAGTATTATTATTATCATCTCTTGTCACAGGTTTATTTCCTGGTATTCCTTTTCTTGAACCAGTGATGCACCTCACCACTCAGGCTTCAAGCTTCGCACTGTAGCACTTTCCGTAGTATGTGTGATGTTCCCAGGATAGCTGTTTTTTGCAGTGAATCTATGGAGTGCTTACCAGGAATTAGTTCCAAATATTTTCTCAACCCTCTCGTGACTGTACCCGTGGCTCCAATAATTACTGGTATCACAAAACATTTCATGTTCCACATTCTCTGAATTTCGATGCTTAAATTTTTATATTTTAATTTCTTCTCTGCTTCTTTTTGTACTACATTCCTGTCTGATGGTACTGATACATCTATAAGTATGCAAGTTTTCTTTTGCTCGTTTTTAATTATTATGTCTGGCCTGTTTGCCAGAACCTCTCTGTCTGTTTGTACGCCTTGGTTCCATAACACCGTTTTATCCTCATGTTCACAGACTGACTTAGGCACGTGTGAGTACCAATTGTCTGGTACTTCAATTCCAAATTCTTTACATATTGAGTAATGTAAATGCATGCAAATTTTATCATGCCTTACTATATATTCGTTCTTCGCCAAAACGGGACATCCTGATGTTAAATGGTCTATA